AGCATAAGTCCCAACCATGTTTATTATTTTAGGTTTAGGAGTTATATTTATTTCTACAATAAGCCCACCATTTATTATGTATTGTAAATAAAAAAAAATTAATCTAAGACAAAATTACCCTCAACCATTTACACCTAATTGTAACCTCAATTTAATTTCGATTTAATTAAATTTGACCAAAAAAATCCAATCTTGACTTTTTCTGAAATATTTTTTTTCCGCCGGTCAACGCCAGACTCTAGCGTTGCATTTTTTTTTTCTGCCGCCTGTTTTCGGCGTTGACTTTTTTTTTTTCCTTTTTTTTCTGTATGCTTTTTTCGCCGCCAGTTTCCGGCGTTGATTTTTTTAGTGTTTTCTTAATCCATTTTTTTACGACCCTGCTGAACGTTGACCGTAATTGTACTGTCATTCACAGTAATTATACTGTCGCTGACAATACATTTACGCAATTGTACTGCCAGCGACGGTACAATTACTGTCAACCACAACAATATTATTATTTTTTTGACATTATTTTTTTATTTTGTTTGATTTTTATATAAGTCAATGTAATTATATTACTGTCGTTGACGGTAAAATTATCGTACCTCGAACCAAAGAGCCTAACAATTGAAAGCCACAAAGCCCAATGATCCCAATAGCTTAATGTTCGATATTAGTAGAGTGGAATAATTTGGTGAGTATTTGGAGTCAAACATATGCATGTAAGTATAAATTCTTTCTATCTTTAATTTGCAAATATTGGATGCTTAAAGCAGTTGTATGAATTGTGGTTTTTGGTAATGATGAGTGACTAAGTGTTGTTGAATTTTGAGCTTGCGAATGTCTAAGAATTGTCATTATAATTACAAGTTCTGAAAACGTGAAGTTGATCATTGATCTATGTGATGAGATGTTATAGTTGAGTTATTTGCTTATTGGTAGATTTTGCTTGAGGACAAACAAAAGTTCAAGTTTGGGGGTGTGTTAAGTGTATATTTTTACACTTTATCGTATCTTTTTATTTGAGCTTTTGGTGTGTTTTAACGATAATTGGTGCTTAAAAAGTTGATTTATTGTATTTTAGGTACAAATTGAAGAATTGGAAAAGTATGGGGTCAAAACTGCAATTTTGAAGAAAATATGGGTCAAAAGTGAAAAAATCAAAATTCTGAAGATTTAAAGCTCAGACCCCCGTCCGAGTTTTAGTTCAAATTGTGGGACCCCCGTCCGAGACTCCGAAGCTACGCAGTAAAGTGATTTTAATTGCACAAGGAAACCGCCTTCTTCCCCAAGTTCTTTACCCTATATAAGACCAAGTCAAGCACACAATTGGGGATCTTTTTTACGCAATTTGGAGAGCAACAAAGCAATAACGAAGACGAAGAATTCGAAGACTCTAAGCATAGATTTATCGTTTATGACTTATTTTATTTGTGTTTTTGCTTTAATCATGAGTAGCTAAATTTCTTATTCCTAGGATTTTATTTGGAACCCTATGTGGGATTTATGAACCCTTTTCTATGATTTTATGCAAGTTTTAATTCCGGATTATTTCTTCTACTTGTTTTATTAAGTGCATGAACTTGATCAACTTATGTGCTTCTATGTTATTGTTAATCGCATGAATCGAAAGATCGGATTAATAATTAGAACTGAGGTAGAAGAGCCTTTGTGGTATTAACATAGGAATATAGTTAATCTCTTAGGTAGCCATTATTGAGATTTGTGCTTAATGTTGTGTTCTAGAATTAATTGCATAGGAATATAGTAATTGAATCTAGAGTATTAGAATCGTAATACACGCGGAAGCGGGTTATGACTATTTTAGCATCTCAGGTTAATAATCCGGGTTAATTGCTTGCATAATTGAAGGAATTTTTGGAGTAATAATCACATATGGGGGAGAATAAAATCATAGGCTTGCTTATCTTGATTAAATCTTCGTTTTAAATTGCTTTCTTGTTTTTGCTTGCTTTTAATTTAGTTTAATTTAGTTAATTCTCTCTAAAATTCGACGGTGTAGGGTGGGCTTGATAATAATTGGTAGAATTTAGCGTCTAGGATTAGATAATTAAATATTCCCTGTGAGTTCGATATCTGGACTTTTAGTCCACTATATTACTTGTACGATACGTACACTTGCGTGTAGGTTTTCGACCAACAAGTTTTTGGCGCCGTTGCCGGGGAGTATTTTAATTATTTATTTTATTCTAGCTCTAGATTTGAACAATTTTCACGATTCACCCATTTAATTTTTGTTTTATTTTATTTTTCTTTTTAGGTATTGTGTATGCGCAGGAGACTCGATCTTGCTAGAGAACCGTTTGATCCCGAAATCGAACGTACTTTTCGAGCCGCTAGGAGATTTCAACGCTCAAACAATATAATGGAGGACGAAGAACGCAGGGGAGCGGGTAGTTTACTCAATGCCAACGGAAACCAAATCCAAGACCCACCCCCTCAACTCCCGTTACAGCCAGCAGCTAGGCCACGGGCACTTCAAGACTACATAATCCCCACTCTCGACGGATTCCGCCCGAGCATCCAATATCCACCCATTGAGGCGCACAATTTTGAGATCAAGCAAGGCCTCTTGACGATGCTCCAAAATAACGGGTTATTTAGTGGATTGGCAGGTGAAGATCCCCATCTTCACATTGTCAATTTTCTAGATACCTGTAATTCCCACCGTCAAAACGGCGTTTCCCAAGAGGCGCTACAATTAATCCTCTTCAAGCACTCCTTACAAGGAAGAGCTCGCCAGTGGTTGATGTCCCAAGCCCCTCACTCTATCTCGTCGTGGCCTCAACTGCTCAACCTTTTCATGAAAGTTTATAGCTCACCGGAGAAAGACGAGAGAATCCGATGAGAAATTCATAATTTTGTCCAAGAGCAAGGCGAGCAATTATACGAGGCATGAGAGAGATTTATAACTCTTTTGAGGCAGTGTCCAACACATGGAGTCGAACAATGGCGGCAAATCCACATCTTCTACCAAGGGATCAACGAGAATGCACGAACCGTTTTAGATGCCTCAACCGGAGGTAATTTTATGAGTCAATCGATACCGGATGCATTTATCATGTTGGATCAAATTGCACAAAATCGATTTGCCAAGTCAAGCGAAAGGACGGTTAGTGGAGCTAAGAAAATTCCCGGAGTGTTGGAGTTAGATGCAATAACGGGCCTTCAAGCTCAAGTGACCCAAATTGCTCAACAAAATCAACTCCTTCTGCAGCACATCAAAGCAAGTCCACCACAACAAGTCCAAGCAATCGATTCTCCATGTTGTGAAATTTGTGGTGGAAATCATTACACGCTCCAATGCCAACAAGATGTGGAGTCGCTGAACTACGTCAACAACGCGCCTCGTCAATTCCAAAATCAAGGGTGGAGATCGCAAGGGCAATATGGAGGAAATCAACAAGGCCAAGGATATCAAAGACCTCAAGGCCAATTCAAAAATCAAGCCCCTCCTCAACAAAGCTATCAAGGCAACAATCCACCGGCCCAAAAATCAAACACGGAGGAGATATTGGCCCAATTCATAACCGCTACCCAAGCCTCGTTGCGAAATTTGGAGAATCAAGTCGCTCAATTAGCTTTGAATCAAGAGAACCGTCCGCAAGGAGCATTGCCATCGAATACGGAAGATCCTCGAAAGCAAAAGTTCGAGACATGCCAAGCTATCGATTTCAAGATCGAGAAAAAAGAAGAAATTCAAGTCAAACCGCAAGTCACTGTAGCCGAATGGGTCGAGCCAATCTCATATCCACAAAGATTGCTTCTGAAAAAGATCGAAGTCGAGACGTGCCAAGCCGTCACCTTGAAAAACGGTAAGCAATTGGAGGAAGCCCCACGAAAAGAGAAGAGGAACACGGTAATCGAGAAGCCGAAAGTGAATGAGGAAAAAGAATCAACTCATGAAGAGCCACCATCAACGGTGCCTTCACAAGTCCCTCCAATTCCTTATCCTCAAAAGTTTATAAAGAAGAAGTTCGATGCCGAATATCAAAAATTTTTAGACAAGTTGAAGGAAATTCGCATAAATATTCCTTTCATTGAAGCACTTCAAAAGATGCCAAAGTGGGTGAAGTTCCTTAAGGATCTCGTGAAGAAAAGTAAGAAATTGCAAGGGAACGAGATGATCCAACTCACGGAGCAAATTAGTGCAATTCTTACTCGGCATCTTCCACAAAAACTCGGCGATCCAGGTAAGTTTACTATTCCTTGTACTTTAGGAGGTAAAAATTTTAGATCGCTCATTGATTTAGGTGCTAGCATTAATCTTATGCCGTACTCTACTTTTAAAAATCTTGGGTTAGGAGAAATTGAACCGACGGCTATAACTCTTCAATTAGCCGATAGATCTTTAGTTTACCCAAAAAAGATTTTAGAGAATGTGTTAGTGAAGGTTAATAAATTTATCTTCCCTGTAGATTTCTTTATACTTGATATAGATGAGGATAGGGAGATACCTCTTATCGTAGAGAGGCCGTTTTTGCTAAGAAAGTTCATATTTCGTCGCAAGGTCACTGAATTTTTTAGCGACCAAATAGTTTTTTCGTCGCCCGGATTTAATTAATTTGGCGACGATAATGGAATTATATTTCGTCTCAAGTACTCATTTTTGTTTGTGACGATTTTTTTTTCGTCGCAAACGGTTTTTTTTTTTTAATTAATTTGTTTATTTTAATTATTTTTTATTATAAAATAAAATCAGCTGTTAAAAAAAATTAAAAAAAAAACCAAAACCATATTTACTCAAAATATTGAAAACCACGATTACCAATTAAATATTAAAATACAACACAAACATCAATTCAAAAATTACATAAAAACTTGAAACCATAAATGTATTAGTTCAAGAGGCACACTAATTTCATCTCGTTTTTATACTCCACTATTAAAACGCTCGAGCAAGGTGTTCAAAATAGCTCGGGTTTCCTGCAATTGCTCTTCTAATCGATCAACTTTTTCATCATTAACTTTATTTTGTTCTTGCATTGTTTCTCGGGTTTCCTGCAATTGTTGTTCCAATCGATTCACTTGTTCGTCTTTCATTTGCATTTGTTCTTGCATTGCCTTCATTTGAATCTCCATTTGAATCTCCACGTCTGATGGTGTTGAAGAAAATCTCGACTTTCCAATCCTTGTGCTTGAACTTTTAATTCAAAGGCCTTTACTCTTTCCCAAAACCTTTTCAATTGCAGTCGAGTTGGCCGTGCTTTCGTCACTTCCATCACGCATGGTCTCATCATAAACTCGCTCCAAATCAGCCTGAAAATGATTATGTACAAAAGTTTAGCCAAAAATTCGACAGCATAACATCTAAATACGAGCATACCCAAAAAAAATCCTTACCAGTACACAACAACTTGACATATTAACAAACAAATCCGTAGCCACACATCTAAACTTCGTACTTAATTAACATATCAAACAATTAACATGATAAACTAAAATATCCATATAATAAACCACAACAGCATACCCATATTCATAGATAAAAAACACATCCATATCCATATATCCCAACTAAACATATAAAGAATTAACATACTACCGATTGAAGAATATAATTACACTTTACTTACCGAAATGAGAAGTTGTTCAGGAGTTGTTGTCCCGTTATACGGCTCTGTCTCTCCTTCCTCACTAATAGATGGTCCGGTTTCCCTCAACGCATCAATGCCCATGTAGGCTTTCTTATACTTGTCAACCACGGTAGGATTTTTGCCAAACTTTTTAAACTAAAAAATAGATTATACAATAAGTATGTATTTTATATAAACTTAAATAAATTAAAATTATAGATTAAGCCACTTACATGATTATATGACCAACTATTGATACTTGTTCGATCCCAATGGTGGTCTGTCGACACTTTCTTTCTCGAGTCCTTGCATTTAGTGGACTTGGACTGTGAAAAATATTGCACAAATTAATACACATAAATATATGAAAATATAATCATAAATTAAAAGCATAAAATTTACCTTCCCATCATCACCCGGAGTAGAAATAGAATGAAACTGATCACATAGCATCTCCCAAGTTTGAGCGCTAATCCTATTCGGACGATTTGCCTTAGCAGCTGCAAGGTTAGGCGCTTTATCAAAAACCGCCTTCAATCTTTTATTTTTTGCATCTTTCCAACGACAATTGGCTGTCTCGTTGAACCATTTCTTCGTAGCCTCATTTTCAGGAAGTTTCCACGTTCCCTAAAAGGCATACAAAAATTCCATAATTAATTGATAACAAAATAATTATAATAACCAAAATAAATAAAATAATTTGAACTTTCATATACCTTAAATGCTTTCCACAATCCTTCGACACGACCCTCTTTCTTGTGCTTAGGCCATGAAATAGACGGATCAAAATTGTCCCAATGTGTAACCTCGTTACTAATTGCCACCGCCAACTTGTACCTCCCGGGTGCAACGGGAATACCCATACCGTCAAACTCCAAATCAACTATATCGGTACTTGTAGACTCATCACCTATAGGATCAACAGAAATATCTTCCATCGACATTGCTCGCCTGAGAAAGAAAATAAGATAAATATATACAGAAATATATATACAAATAAATTGAAAACAATAATAAATTACGGCAAATAAAATGATAACATTAAAACAAGTACATTACAATCCAAACAAGCTAATTAACAAGACTTCAAAAAAATATTAGAACAACAAATAGAATTAGTCACTCTTCCATATCATCTATAGCATTTATATCATTATTTATAGGAAGTATCTCATAACATTCATGTTCAACTACATTGAGATCATCAGGAGTCAAAGCAAAGTTGTCTCTTGGTTTAATAATAATCGGAACCACCCATGGCCTATCACGTGGATCATCAACGTAAAAAGCTTGCAATACTTGACATGGCAGAACAAAAGGACTTGCTTTTATATCTGGCTTTGTTAAGTTCACAAGTGTAAATCCCAAACCGTCCGTCTTGTTCATGCGAATATTAGCCCAATCACATTCGAATAAAACTACCCTCTTTGTACCTACGGCGAATGAAAGTTCAATAATATCTTTTATTACGCCATAGTACCATACGTCTTCTTCTTTCGGAGATTTATCCTTGGAGTTCGCGAAAGTAGTTGTCTTTGCTTTGACAAAAACACCACTGTTTTGAGTTGAAAGAGACTCTTCAGATGACTTTGTGCGGAACATAAACCCTTGCACTTCAAATCTCTTGAAAGTCTTTACTCTAAATTGAGGAGAACAAGCTAAAGCTTTGATATCGTCTCTCAGTTCACTCTTTCCTTGCACCTATGTAGTCACCAATTATTCATTTTTACGTTTTAAAAACATTTACAAATTAAGTTCACGTTAAATCAAACACTTACGTAGGATTGGAACCAATGACGAAATTATTTGTCTTGTAATTGCTGAATGCGCCATTGGTAAGCAGGGTCACTTGTCGAGATTTTGTTCTTAATGGTCTCGAAGTGCTCCCTAAAATAATTTGTGTTTTTTATTGGATGAAAATCAAATGAAAATAGTAGTAGTTTTAAGATTTTGATAAGTAACTTACTCAATGTACGGTTGAATTTCATCAGAGTTAAAAAAACAATAGTTGTGTGCCTTTTCCATTTCATCATAAGTAACGGTTTTGTACTTAGATCGCAGTTCATTGCCTTGTCTATCATCGACAGAAATGTTCATAGATGAACTTTCTGTGTACAATGAGCAAAAATTTAAGCACTCCTCAGTGATGTAGCATTCAACAATTGAACCCTCGGGGCACTTTTTATTTCAGACAAATGACTTTAAGTGACCCAAGTATCTGAGATTGAAATAAATATTTATTAAAAAATATATAACTATTTCAATAATTTACGTAAAGAAATTAGATTTTTAAATAAATTAAGTACCTCTCTATCGGATACATCCATCTATAATTCACCGGTCCAGCAACCATTGCTTCATGAGCTAGATGAACCGGCAAATGCATCATAACAAAAAAGAATGTCGGAGGAAACAATTTCTCAATATCACACAAAATTTTCACAATGTCGGAGTGCAGTTTTCGAAAATCTTCAATTGAGTTAGTTTTGGAACACAATTCTCGAAAAAAACTGCACAACTGGATTATGGTACTAGCCAACTTTTTTGGTAAGTCCACGTTACGGATTGCTAATGGAAGCAATTGTTGCATTAGTACGTGGTAGTCATGGCTTTTTAATCCCCCTATTTTGTCTCACAAAACAACGGGCTATATTAGATGTATAGCCGTTAGGAACCTTAACATTTGCTATAACATCACACACGGCCTTCTTGGATTGGGAAGACAACTGGTGATACTTTCCTAATTTTGGAACGAGATCGGGAAATCGAGGACCGGGCTTGCCTGACGGTGGCTTTTTAATTTTTCCAATGTCCTCCTTAGCATTGTCAAACCCGTCATTTTTGCCAAGAATATTTAATAACCACCTAAGCAATAATTCACCGACATTTTTCTCAATATGCATGACATCAAGATTGTGCCGAATGAGATTATCTTTCCAGTACGGCAATTCAAAGAATATACTCCGTTTTCTCCATTGGGAAGCTCGATGCACTGTTTGGCCTACGCCAAATGTAACATTTATACCCTCCGTTTTTTATAACACCTCATCTCCTGAAGGCGGAGGTGGAGCCCCGTCTTCAGAAAAACGACTATGACCCATATAGCACTGTTTGTTAGACTTGTACAAACGTTCAGACACGGTATTTTCGGCACAACTTGGGCAAGCAAGATAGCCACTTGTACTCCACCCCGACAAGTTACCAAGCGCAGGGAAGTCATTGATAGTCCACAAAAGTGCGGCTCGCATATTAAAATATTGCTTGGTGTACGCATCAAAAGTTGTTATCCCAGAACCCCACAACTCATTAAGCTCGTCGATCAACGACTGTAGATAAACATCAATGCCATTTTTCGGGCCTTTAGGTCCAGAAATAAGCAATGACATCATCATATTAGAGCGTTGCATGCACATATTTAGTGGTAAGTTGTAAACCATTAGAATTACAGGCCATGTGCTATGTTTGCTGCGCAATGATCCAAAGGGATTAAAACCGTCAGTAGCCAAGCCAAGCCTTACATTTCGAGGGTCCAAAGAGAGAATGACTCGTGCTTCTTGTCAAACTCTTTCCAAACATCAGAATCAGCAGGGTGCCTGAGAACGCCATCGTTACATCGAGACTCAGCGTGCCATCTCATGTTAATTGCTGATTTTTGACATATAAATAGCCACTTGAGCCTCGGAATCAATGGAAAGTGTCGCAAAACTTTTTTCGGTACCCTTTTGCGCTGAGAGGTTGAAGAACTCGGTTGGTTTTCTACTGGATTCTTTCATCTTGAAGCATTACACACTTTGCATGCATTTAAGTTCAAGTCATCCTTCCAAAACAGCATGCAGTCATTCTCACACGCATCAATCTTGACGTAACCACACCCCAATTTACCAATGAGCTTCTTAACTTCATGAAAAGAGTCGGGTATATTTAAAAAATCAAGTTTTCTCATTAACTGAAGGGTTTCAGTAAATGTATTATCACTCATCTTGCCACGAGACTTAATTTTGTAGAACTCCATGACAAAGAAAGTTTAGTATATACCCGACATCCATCATAAACGGGGATGCACCACTCTTCAATGAGTTTACGAAAATCATCAGTTTCGGGGTTGGGTTCTTCGTGCAGATCTTCTTGATCGTGATGATGATCGTGATGAAGACACGCATGCAGTAAGTCTTCTATGTTATCACGTACATCAACAGGTTCATTTAAAATTGCAGGGAATTTCTGTATGATTAGTATTGTTCATTTCCTCGCCAATATATTCTTCTTCGGACTCTCCATGCAGAGTCCATCGGCGTTGCCCATACAGTTTATCCCAACCCCTCCAAAGTAAATGTTTATGAACGAATTCACGATCCGCCATTTACGACACTTACAGTCTCTACATGGGCATCTTATTTTACTATCAACGTCACATCTAGCGAAGGAAAAATCCATAAATTCCACACAACCATTTTGATATACTTCTAACCGACGATCATCTAATAAAACCCAACTCCTATCTTTTGGCATGCTTTAATTAACAAGATTACCTAGAAATTGGGAAGGGTCACAATTATTAAAATCACAATTATTCGATCAAGTCAAAGTTACATTCATAAACTAAAACTAAATTAAGGTGGTAGTCACAACAGGAAAGCTTTCAATTTTTAATTGACATCAATTTTCAATTTTCAAAAATCCCCCCTCATTAGTAAGTAAATTTGACTCCGTAAGGATGAACGAAGACAATACGTAGTCGAGGGATTGTTTTAATTACCCAAATATTATGATTTTTTTCATAATTTAGCTTTACCTTGGGGTGTGATTGTAATTTACCCTAATTTAAAGCAATTTTTCAATATTTTTCCGAAAAGGTTTTTTTTATTTATTTATATATTTTAGGGGTAATTTTTTATAAACCCTCCACTCTAAGATTGTATAGGTCCTAGTCCAAGTCATAAGTCCTATTTTTCTAAACCCCCCTATTAATTTTTTTGGCTGATTTGCCCTTTGCAATAAAATAGGAAAATTTCTTTTAAAAATAATTATTCACCAAATCAGATTTTTTAGCTAAAAAGGAGGCAAAGAAATCTCGTGAGATTGAAACTGCAAAATCTTACCTC